CAATTGGTGATTGTTTTCGTTTCCAAGTAGTTCACTTAACAGAATGCACTATATACCAACTGTCCACTACAAAGGGCATTGTGAAATCAGAAGGGCAACAATTGACTATTGAGCAAAATGCAAATGACATAACTGTGCTCGGCTACTCTTTTCACTATTGAAAGTCTTTGAAGCGACCACCCAACAGAGCGTGAGAAATACCCTGTTTCCCTCACCCTGCACTTCTGATTTCCTCTTTACCTCAGTCGACAAAGTGACCAGAGATCATCAGTTTTTATTCTCACCTCAAGTCGAACCCAGTTTGTATCCGCACCTCAAGTCAAACCCAGTTTGTACTCTCACCTCAAGTCGAACCCAGTTTTGTATTCTCACCTCAAGTCGAACCCAGTTTTTATTCTCACCTCAAGTCGAACCCAGTTTGTATCCGCACCTCAAGTCGAAATCAGTTTGTATTCTCACCTCAAGTCGAATCCAGTTGGTATCCGCACCTCAAGTCGAACCCAGTTTGTATTCTCACCTCAAGTCGAACACAGTTTGTATTTTCACTCGAATCGTGCACAGTTAGTTGTTTCTCCTCAAGTCGTACAAATCGGGAATGTTTAGCCTCAAAGCAATACACATCGCAGACTCTGGCAGAGAAGTGCCTCAAAACCCAACCCGTAATTATTCACCCTCAATTCAAATCAGTGCTCAAGTGAACTAATTGGAAACAGTTCCCCACTCAAGTAGAATAATTACGCCACTCAGCCCATTTAAAGAACGTACTGCCCAGGCCAATTAGAAAAAGTGGCAAAATAAACGTGCCGCCCGTGCAAGTTCGGCGGGCACATCTCAAATTGGCAGATTTATTTCCTCCTGCGACTACTCACAAGGATACCCACCAAACACTGGTACCCCACACTCATTGGTCCTTCGAACAACCCCCAACATTAGGTCAAACGAGCAGGATCATTTTAGTTTAGAACTTGATCCCCCATCATTTGGTCCATTCGAGCCGGATCAGGTTAGATTAGAACTTGATCCCCTAGCACATACCATGTACATTCCCAGAAAATACACATGTATATTCACTGAACATACCATGTACATTCCCAGAAAATACACATGTATATTGAACATACCAGGTACATTGTCAGAACATACATATGTACTGCCTTTTTACTTCATTAAAGTTATACTTTAATAAAGTATAACTAATAAAATAATAAAGATGTAAATTTACAGAAAAATATTGTCTTTGTTACTCATCCCTATCATGCACCTTCTTATACAGTGTGTCCAATATAAAATGATGTACATGGGGATATTGGAAACCGTTAGAGTTACAGGGTGGACCAAACGTGGAAAAAGTTGCGCAATCAAGTGCCTATAAATATACTGTCATCAACTACTTTGAACTCGGAATAGCAACGAATATACAGGGAAAAAAGAAAAAAATGTGTTTTATAAAATCCTTTATATCTTATTTATCATAAAAGATACAATTAAAAAAATTTCAGGGTGGGGGTAAGAAATGAGCGTGAATTTTAAAATAAAGTAAAAAATAATCTAGGCTCACTATGTTCAATGAGGCCGAAGTCAACTTTTGTTTTTATTATGGGCACCATATTTAATTTTTGCATTTTTAAATTTCCCTTTAAATATGCTCTTCAACCATGTATAACATGTTTATGTTCGGTCAAGATAAATAACTAACATTAACAAAATTAAGATTTTATGGTAGTAGGCATTGATATTTCCATTAATTATTACTTTAAATTATTATTGCTCATACATCGAACACTGCAAAATAACAAGTAACATTTTAGGATTAAAGTAGGTGTTCAAATAAGCCACCGTTTTCTCGCACGCACAACATACATCGTCTCATTACTGCTTCACAGGATTTTCTGATCATTTTTGGGGTAATTCTGTTAACAGCTTCTATAACAAGCGTGTCTCAGCTCCTCTTCGGTTTCGTATGACCTACAGTATACCACATTGTTGAGGAAACCCCATGCAAAAAAATCAAGCGGTGTTATGTCACATTCTGTGATAATACGTCTATTATGTGGCGGCGCGCCGTCTTGTTGGAAATACAAGTTTTGCAGGGAACATCCATAAGTGCTTCCGCTACGTTAGTTTGTAAGAGGTTCAAATATCTCTCAGAATTTAAGTTCTCATTAAAAAAAAAATGGTCCAATCACGTGGGTACCCACAATACCTAACCAGACGTTAAATCCAAACCTAACTTGGTGCCTAACTTGACGAACTAGCCGTGGATTTTCATCAGACCAAAAAACGGTATTTTTACGATTAAATAGTCCATATTTCGTAAATTGGCTCTCATCTGACCAAAGGACTTTTAAGGAAAAGTTTGGTATCTCGTTATTTCTTTGAATAAACCACTAACAAAATGCTATTCTTCTAATCGCATCGCCATTCTGGAGTCCCTGGCAGGGCCGTTCACGATAGGGGTGATATTTATGACGCTTTAAAATACTATTCGCCGTTGACCGCGCAACGTGGTTGTTGTTGTGGCTTCAATTTGACGTAAATACGTACGAGGTGTCTCAACCACGCTTTGCATTACCAAATTTACCTTAGCAAAACTCCCGTAAGCTATATGGTTGTACGCCTAAGCATAGTTCTACCAGGTTGTCGCCTTTCTGGATATTTATTTAAATACATTTCTTCAGCTTTAGCTTCATTTCGACGACAGAGAATGAAACACTCCAACATATCGTATTTTTCATAATTTGAAAAGTGATTCATTTCGAAACACACAATTAATGACAAACACTTGACACTGACAATAAATTCTACTTTAACAGTTACCTAGGTAATTAAAACAGACAACGAACGTCACTATGGGAAAATTGAAGAGAAATATTAATGCCTGCTACCATAAAATCTTAATTTTGTTAATTCTAATTATTTATCTTGACAGAACATAAACATGTTATACATGGTTGAAGAGCATATTTAAAGGGGAATTTAAAAATGCAGAAATTCAATATGGCGCCCATAAGAAAATCAAAAGTTGACTTCGGCCTTATTGAACATAGTGGGCCTAGATAATTTTTTAATTAATTTTCAAATTCAAGCTCATTTCTTACCCCCACCCTGAAAATTTCGTTATTGTATCTTTTATAATAAACACGATATAAAGGATTTTATAAAACGCACTTTTTTCTTTTT